GTACCAAATATAACCTAAGCCTTTTTATAAAGTCTTAATGATTGCAAAATGCTTACTAATGTCAAAATTCATAAGAGAAGAAAGATGATTTCTTGTGAATTAATTAAATCTAGCTATAGCATCTATAATGTGCTTTTAATTTGAAAAAAAAATTATTGGTACACATTTTCAATATATTATTTAATATTTATGCAGTTTAATCATTTAAAAATATAATATAAATATAATCAAGTTTATTAGTTTTTACATTTTTATATATTAATATATCTTTAAATTTGTATATTTTTAATTTTAAATTAAAAATAATAATTTTTAAATAAATATATTATGTAATGTATTAAATAAAAATATACACTAGCGAATCAATACTAATCGGTACCCACTTGAAAAACAATGATCGGTTTTGAATGGTTCAGAAATGGTCCAAGGCTAATATTTGAAATCAACCGAAAAGGAGGGAAACATGCATGGGGGAGAATGGTGATGAGAGACAGCATGGTGAAATTGTCTGAGGTTATCTCTTATCCTTGTCGAGCTTCCGCACCCCGAAGAAAACTGCAAAAATTAGGAGGTGCCCCCTCCATTGACTTCTAGGGATGAGCATCAGAAAATTAACGTAAGGGATGACAAAGCAATTCTCGCACCGACAACACCCACCTGCCTGCCCCGATTCGATCACCGTTTCCCCCTTCGGAAAGCGTGCTCTTCCTGCCTTGCCTTGTCCTTCCCCTTCCCCTCCACATGGATATCTTCTTCTCTCTGTTCTCCTACACACATACACTAATTATATATAGATTTCCTTATTTTATTTTTTTTTTGAACTGATTTTGCAAGGGGCTGGGTTCGAACCCCAGCCCTGGGGAGGGGGAATGCACCATGGGTGGCTATTGTCACTTGGTCCGAAAGGCTCGGTGCTAGATTTCCTTATTTTAAAATTTGATTGATAAAACAAAAATTATTAAATAGGAGAGGGAGGCTCTAATACTATAAGTTTGTCTTCCTTTAATAATGGACAACAATATAAGAATAATTTTTTAATATTATTTTTTTATATAATTTTAAAATTTGATTGATAAAACAAAAATTATTAAATAGGAGAGGGAGGCTCTAATACTATAAGTTTGTCTTCCTTTAATAATGGACAATAAGAATAATTTTTTAATATTATTTTTTTATATAATTTTTATATGTTCTTAAATAAATTGATATATTTAATATCATAAGTTTCAAATAAATAAAAAGAGTCAATCATTTAAATGATATGTAAAATTATATAAAAATTAATATAAAAAAATTATCTCTAAATCATTTTTTTTAATAATTAAACTATATAATTCAAAATAATTCAAACTGCATAACACTTTTTAATTATAT